TATATCTATATATATACACACACACACAACACACACATATATATATATATATATATATATATATATATATATATATATATATATATATATATATATATATATAACATATATACACATACATTCATAAATACATACATAAATTCACACACACACACACACACACACACACACACACACACACACACACACACACACAACACACACACACACACACACATATACACACATATATACACACCCCTACTCACCCTCCCCCCTCCCCTCCCCCCGCAGGACTCCGCAAGGCCTTCGACGCCTTCGACACGGACAAGAAGGGCGCCATCAACGTGGAGACGATCAGCACCATCTTGAGGATGATGGGCGTGAAGGTCTCGGAGAAGAACCTGCAGGAGATCATCGCCGAGGTGGACGAGGACGGTGGGTCGATGTCGGCTCCGTGGGCGTCGTTGTCGTTGGTTGGTTGTTGTTGTTTATTTTATTTTTTTTATCATCGTGTTATTATCATTATTGTTGTTATTGTTATCATCATTGTTATTGTTGTGGTTGTTATTATTGTTTTATTGTTATTCTTATCATTATTATTATTATTATTATTGTTGTAATCATAATTGTTATTGTTGTTATTGATGTTATTATTGTCCTTATTGTTATTCTTATCATCATTCTTATCATTATTATAATTATGATTGTTATTGTTATTGTTGCTATTGATGTCTTTGTTGTTTTTATTGTTATTCTTATCATCGTTGTTATTATCATTATTATAATTATAATTGTTATTGTTGTTATTGATGTTATTATTGTTATTCTTATCATCATTATTATGATTGTTATTATCATTATTGTTATTATTTATTAACTGTTGGTATAATTATTGTTATTGATATCATTAATATTGATTTCATTCTTATTATCATAATTATTATCATTATCATTATGATTGACTATAGATATTATTTTTGTTGATATCATTATTGTTTTTATTTTCATTATCATCATTATTATGATTATTATCATTATTATTTTTTTGTTATGATTAACTGTTGATGTTATTATTGTTATTGATATTATTATTCTTACCATCATTATTGTTATCATCATTATTATCATTATTAACTGTTGATATTCATTATTATTATTATTATCATTATTAACTGTTGATATTGTTATCATTATTGATAGCATTATCTGTTTTATTCTTATTCTTATCATAATTTCGTTCTTATTATTAATATCATTTTTTTTTTACTTTTGGTATTACTACTGTTGTATTTTTATTTGTGCATATTGTCATTACAATTATTGTTATTATTATTATCATTTTCATTATAATTACCATTATTTTTATTATTATCATTACTATAATGATGATGATTACTATTATCATCTTTATTATTTTTTTTATTATCATTATCATCACCGTTATTATTACTGTTATTATTATCATTATTTTTTATTGTTATTTTTGTTATCATTATCATTATCATTAGTATTATCATTATGATTATAATTATCATTATTATCATAATCATCATTATCTTAATCATCATTATCATTATTAATCATAATTATATCATTTTTGCTACCATTAATATTTCTTATTATATTATTATTGCTACCATTGATATTTCTACCATTAGTATCATGATTATTGATATTAATATTGACATTCAGATAATATTTTGAATACATTTGAATTAATTATTGCCATTATCTATATAATTACCATTACTGTATCTTAATATGATTGTTTATTTTATCACAGTCATAATTATAACGAATCAGTCACCATTGTCACCACAGTCATCACCATCACCAATCATCATAACTATCATCATATCCATCATCACAATCATCTTCACCATCACTATAAATCACCATATTTCCCTTATTGTTATCACCATCATCCCCACAGTCACCATGTTTCTCTTCTTGTCATCACTATCACCACAGTCACAACCACCGTCATCACCAACATTCACCATCACCATCTTTTCCTTAGTGTTATCACTACCACAACTACCCCAATCTCCACAACCACAATCACCACTTCAACAATCACCACATTCCCCTTATTGTCACCACCACCACCATCACCACACCACCCCCTCCTCACACCCCCCTTCCCTTGCAGGATCCGGTGAGCTTGAGTTCGAGGAGTTCTGCGCCCTCGCTGCCAAGTTCCTGATCGAGGAGGATGAGGAATCCTTAAAAGCAGAACTGAAGGAGGCGTTTCGTATATATGATAAACAGGGTGAGTGGAAAGGGTGATAAAGATGGGTGGATGGGGTGGGTGGTGATAATAATTCTCTCTTGTATTTAAAAAAAAAAAAAAAGAAAAAAAAATATACAAGTTGGTAACTGGCTACTCGCCTTTTTGTTTACATTTGTGTCCACGTTCCTCTGTCAGCTGACTGGATGAGGGTAGCGAGAAAACGCTCTTATTTAGCATTATACATTCGTTATTTCGTATTAAATCGTCGCCACATAGCCTGGATAACGTCCATAATCGCCAGAGCCTGTGCGGAGGCTGGAGGCATCTTGCTGTGTTTAAAAATTTCGGAAAAAATGCGGAAAAAGTCACACAACCGGTTTGTTAAAATTGTGCCAGGCCCAACTCAATGAATTTACGTACATACAGATGCAGAAATAAAGGCATATCTCTCTATATATCTGATAGATATACATTTAACCATCTATTTGTCGGGTTGATATGCATGTCTAGACTGATAGATATGTATTTATTTCTTTATTTATGATTGTCAAGTATGCGAATATTCTTTGGGTCGGGCCTCGCACAAGTATAAAGTCCTTTTGATTTAGTTTTTTTTTTCTGTTTTTTTTTCTAACATATAATTCGTATGGTGGCAAACAAACATTACGAAATGGACATGACGAAAAAATGCAAATTTCACATGAAATAAAGAATAAAAATCCACACAAATTCTCGTAGTATTATAGACATAGGCCTACATTAGAATGGAATGGACTAATAAGTGAACTCTTAAAAAAATTCTTCTCTTGCATAATTATTACAAATTCTATAGAGAAAATACCATGCTGATATATAAACTGGCAATACCAACGTTAAATGAGTATGACTAATGCTTATGTCGGCATTTTAAGGACATGGCAAGAACAAGTTTAAAATATTTCTTTTATCTGACAATAGATGGCGATGAATAACAAATGTTTGGCCAGTTTCTTTTGTTTAGCAATGATAAGCAATATAAGAATTAATAAAACTACTCGGACTGTCTCTTTGCTTTGCGGTAAAACAATATATTAATAAAACAGTGTTTGTGTTCTTACTTATACGATAAAAAGCCAGCGAAGTCTAGTACCATCCCACATCATGGATACAATTAATCAAATCTACCATTTTTTTTATTTTTCTCAATTTGCTCCAATGCTGTTTTAGCTGTGGCAGTGACTCCGTGACTAGTTCTGTTTACGCGTTACGTGATTGGCCGAGGGAACCTAAAAGATTATGTATGTCACTCGCTGATTGGTGGAATTGCTTTGCTAGAACCTTCTGTTGGCTAACTTTAGAATGAGTCGATTTGCGATTGTAACTACTATAGCCCTATAAAATCTGTAATTCTCCTCCTCTCTGTCTCTCTCTCTCTATCTCTATCTCTATCTCTATCTTTCTTTCTCTCTCTCTCTCTCTCTCTCTCTCTCTCTCTCTCTCTCTCTCTCTCTCTCTCTCTCTCTCTCTCTCTCTCTCTCTTTCTGTCTTTCTCTTTCTCTCTCTCTCTCTCTCTCTCTCTCTCTCTCTCTCTCTCTCTCTCTCTCTCTCTCTCTCTCTCTCTCTCTCTCTCTCCTCTCTCTCCCTCTCTCCTCCCTCTCCCTCTCTTTTCCCACTCTCCCTCCTCCCTTCCCCCCCCCCTCTCTCTCTCTCTCTCTCTCTTCTCTTTCTTTCTGCCTCCCTCCCCTCCCCCGCTTTCCCTGTCTGTCTGTCTGTCTGTCTCTCTCTCTCTCTCTCTCTCTCTCTCTCTCTCTCTCTCTCTCTCTCTCTCTCTCTCTCTCTCTCTCTCTCTCTCTCTCTCTCTCTCTCTCTCTCTCTTCTCTCTCTCTCTCTCTCTCTCTCTCTCTCTCTCTCTCTCTCTCTCTCTCCCTCCTCTCTCTACCCCTTTTATAACCCCCACACCCTAATTATCTATCCATCTATCCATCTATCTCTCCCTTGTATAACCCCCACATCCTAAAATTATCTACCCATCTACCCATCCATCTATCCCTTTATATAACCATCCCACATCCTAAATCATCTACCCCATCTACTCATCTATCTATCCCTTCTATAAGCCCCCTCATCCTAACTTATCTACCCATCTACCCATCTATCTCTCCCCTTTATAACCCTCCCGCCACCTCCTGCAGGCGACGGCTACATCACGACGAAGGTCCTAAAGGAGATCCTGAGGGAACTGGACAACAAGCTGACGGAGGAGGATCTTGACGGGATCATCGACGAAGTGGACGAGGACGGCTCAGGAACCCTGGATTTCGATGGTGAGGGGGTGTGGGGATGAAGGGGACGGTGATGGGAGGGGGTGTGTGGGGTGATGGGAGGGGGTGTGGGGGGGTGGGGGGTGGGGGTGATGGGAGGGGGGTTGGGTGGGGGTGTGATGGTGAGGGTGGTTGGGAGGGGGTATGTGGGGTGGTGTGGGGAGGGTGTGGGGGTGTGAGGGTGGGCGGAGGGTGGGGGAGGGGATGGGGGGGGTGTGGGGGGTGTGGGGGTGATGGGAGGGGGTGTGGGGGGTGTGTGGGGGGGGTGATGGGAAGGGGTGTGGAGGGTGGATGGTGTGTGGGGGATGGGATGGGAGGGGTGGGGGGATGGAGGGGGGTGGGGGGGTGATGGGAGGGGGGTGTGTGGGGGTGGGGAGGGTGGGGTGTGGGGTGTGGGGTGGGTGGGAGGGGGGTGGGAGGGGGGGGGTGATGGAGAGGGTGTGTGGGTGAGGGTTGGGGGTGTGTGGGGGAAGGGGGTGTGGGGGATGGGATGGAGGGTGTGGGGGTGATGGAGGGTGGGAAGGGTGTGGTGGGGATGGAGGGGGTGTGAGGGTGGATGGGAGGGGTGTGAGGGAATGTGGGGTGGGGGGGATGGAGAGGGTGTGGGGTGATGGAGGGGAGTGTGGATGTGGGTGGGGAGGTGTGGGGGGGGATGTGTTGAAGGGTGTGTGGGATGATGTGAGGGATGTGGGTGTGATGGGGGTATGTAGGGGTGTGGGGGTGAAGGGAGAGGGTGTGGGGTGATGGGAGGGGGTGTGGGGGGTGATGTGAGGGGGTGTGGGGTGATGTGAGGGGGTGTAGGGGGTATGTGGGGTGTGGAGTGATGGAGGGGGTGTGAGGGATGATGGAAAAGGGATTGGGGTGATGTGAGATGGGAGGGATGTGGGGGGATGTGAGAGGGTATGTGGGGTGTGGTGGTGATGGGAGAGGGTGTGAGGGTGATGGGAGGGGTGTATGTGGGTGTGGGGTGATGTTGAGGGGGTGTGAGGGTGATGGGAGGTGATGGGAGAGGGGATGAGGATGTGAGATAGAGGAATGGGGGGGTGATGTGAGGGGGTTGTGGGTGGGTATGTGAGAGGTGTGGGAGGAGGTGTGGGTGGTGATGAGGGTGGTATGTAGGGTGTGGGGGTGATGTGAGGGTGTGTGAGGGATATGGGGGGATGGAAAAGAGTGTGAGGGTGATGGGGGAATGGGAGAGGGTGTGAGGGTGATGAGAGGGGGTGTGGTGGTGATGGAGAGGAGGTGTGGGGGTGATGGGAGGGTATGTGGGATGGGGTGATGTGAGGGGGTGTGAGGGATGTGGGGATGATGTAAGGGGTGTGAGGGATGTGGGGTGATGTGAGGGGGGTGAGGGTGTCGGGGTGATGGGAGAGGGTTTGGGGGTGAAGGGAGAGGGTGTGAGGTGATGGGAGGAGGTGTGGGGGTTATTGGTTAATTATTTGGTTTAATTGAGTGAGTGAAGTGAATGAGTAACACATATTTATTTGTAAATTCATGTATTCTTTTTTTTAAAGGAAATAACTTACTGCTTCAACTTTTGTTAATTCAATGAATGATAATTTTGAAGTCACTGCATAAGCGCTTACAAAATTAATAAAGTAAGCATTTTTTGTTCATTTGTCGTATGTTAATTATGTCTTTATCACTTTTTGTCTCTTTAAATACTCTTCGTCTCGTAAAAAAATAAATATTTCTGTTCTTACTTTGCTTTGTAGGGATCGTTTGTGTAACGTCATCTTTGTATTTAACATCCCTTGTGTCCGAGTAACTCACGAAGAGAGAATTATCGTATTTTCCCCCCTTCTCCCCTATTTATTCCCCCCTCTCTCTGTTCTTCCCTCACGAAGAGAGAATTATCGTATCCCCCCCCCTTTTCCCCTATTTATTCTCCCCTCTCTCTGTTCTTCCACTATACTGCATCTCCGTCTTTATTTCAGAATTCATGGCGATGATGGCCGGTTAACCTCCTCCCCCCCCCCTTTCCTTTCCTTTTTCACATTCTCCTTTTTCGTCTTATTTCACGGCCCTCTTAACCAGCTCCTGTTCACATCCACAAACCTGTTCTCAATTTCAGAGTTCATGGATATGATGACTGGTTAATCTATGCCACAAAATGTCCAGCGTCTACTCCTTTTTTAAATAAATATAAACATCAACAGCAACAACATCATCCTACATCCAATTATCCACTGTTCCCATACCAAAAAGCAACGATTATGTATCCAGGCGTGTACGCGAGTCAACTGCGTGCAAATTGGTTTAGTCTCCCCCCCTCGCATTCCTCATCCTGACATCTCGACGAAAAACAACAACAGAAAACGGAAGCTCATTGGAACCTAAATATTTTAGGCTCGAACTCCATTGTTAAAAATAAGAATGAAAATGAAAGAGAAAATTTTGATATATCATTGTAGAAAAGATAGAACTTTTTAAGGAAAATAAGTTATATAGAAAAAATGATACCATGGATAATAAAAAATGTAGACCAGTTTAAAAAATCCTATAGAGTTTAACGGATTTTTTCTAGAATGTTTCCAACCGAAGATCATTTCTTTTCAATGTTTCTTTTTATCTTGTATATCACTGGAAAATAATTTATTATCCAATAGACGAGAGAACACTGTGGATCATTTTATTTCGTCCATTGTTTTATTACTTAAAAAAAAACTGACTTTTTGAATTATTTTTCTTTTTCTTTTATTTATCTTCTTATTTTTGAATCTTATTTACTTATTTTTTTTCTTTTTCTTTATTTTTTTTGCCAGGAACATCTGCATTTTATCATTTTTTTCATGAGAAATATAACATCATTAACCTAAGTGGAGTGAGGTTTTCATCTAACTCCCTGGTTTAGGAATATATTTATGTTGTCATTAAAACAAGTGTTATGTACTATGTTTTTTTTTTCTTGACTTTGTGTTAACTAAATGCTTATAAGTGATCTTGCTTTATTGTTTAAGATTTTAAATTAAAACTGAACCATTGTTTGAATTGTTATTGTCCTTTGGAAATATTTTGTGTTTTGAAGCTAACACCTGAAACTGGTTACATTTGTGTGAATATATATATATATATATATATATATATATATATATATATATATATATATATATATATATATATATATATATATATATATATATATATATATATATGTGTGTGTGTGTGTGTGTGTGTGTGTGTGTGTGTGTGTGTGTGTGTGTGTGTGTGTGTGTGTGTGTGTGTGTGTGTGTGTGTGTGTGTGTGTGTGTGGTGTGTGTGTGTATGTGTGTGTTGTGTGTGCGTGTGTGTTTGGTATATATATTCACACAACCCATAAAGGTGAACTGTAATTCCTTACGTCATTTACTGACAAACGAAGCACAACCTTTTATCTTTTTATTTTTTATTTATTTATTTTTTATTTTTTTGCAATAGGATTTCAGGAACAGAACGATATGAGGAGGTGAGTCCATTCAGAATCACAAAATCGTATGATCTATTATTTTATCTTTATTTGTTTCTTCTCTTTAGTACGAAAAAAGAAATTATTTTGATTCTTAGTTATTGTATACTAAAATATTTTACGTAGATGTTTATTTCCCGAACAGCTGTCTTCTTTTTTGTGTATGCAAATTAGATATGAATATCTTCCAAAGAGGGATATTTACATCTATACGAATTAACTAAGTGTTTAGAATTAGACAAAGCAGCTTAAACCATGTAATTTTACCTAAACCATTTAATTGACTATGGATTTAGATTTTTTATAAAGATGTGTGACCAAAGATGCAATTTGAGCTTTTGATCCACAGCAAAGTACTTATACAGTGGATATTATTTTTTCCCTCCAGTACTTCTTTGTTTATTGTATCTTTTTTCGTAATACTTCTATGTGGAAGATGCTATCCCTGTTTTTTTTTTTTTGTGTGTGTGTGTTTCTGTATACTTCATATCCTGCATTTAAAAGGTGATACCCCTAAACATATGGGGTATCTCTTGGGCTTTTTATTTCCTGCCTAGCCTGCATTTGAAAGGTGATACCCCTTGACAGAGGGGTTACATCTTTTGTATTTTGTGTACTTCATAGTCTACATTTGAAAGATGATATCCCTCTGATGTTTTCCTTCTATTTGTTTGTTTTTTTTTACTTCCACAGCTGTGAGGAGTTTTCCCTTTAGCCAAGAAAACAAACTATTTGACCTTTGACCTTCCATAGTTGTTATTTTCCCCATGGCCTTTTTATCCTATTTTTTCTCTCTTTCTTCTCTCCTAATTCTATGACTAAGACCATCTTCCATTTTCCTTTCCAGAGTTCATGACGATGATGGCCGGTTAAGCTTCTGCTCATCCTTACACCTTCATGTTCCTCGCCTCATTCACTCGACTCCTCTCTCCTCAAGCCACATTGCTGTTCTCGCTCTCTGAGTTCATGGATACACACGCAAAACTTCGCACATGTACGCACAACACGGATAGTTTACACGTACGTACACGGGTTATGTGCACATCATATCATGAAACAGCTGTGTACGTTTATTAGCGCTATCTTGACTTCGGTTTATTAATTTTTTTTTTCTCTCTCTCTCTTTTTTCGGATTTTTCTCCCCAAAAGTGGATCGATTTTTCAACATAATGAAAAACCAGGAAGATTAAATTTCCATTGGTTTTATACATTCAGGATCTGGTATTACGAACATAAACTAATTTTGGAAATCAAACTCTTTTTGATCGTCTTTGCAAAATCTGCCTATGCTACATTACGATAATGTGTCGTTATTTATTAATTTATTACTATTTTTTATCAAGCAAAACATACGGCAATATCATTTACTTTTTCTGTAGTGGATACAATTATATACACTTCAGAAATAAGTAAAACAAAACTATTTTTGGAAACTCATTAACAATGTCATGCACACATGCGAGTGGAAATACGTTTTGGAAATGTTTTTATGATTGTCTGATGAAAAAAAATCTGTTTGTGTTATTTTTCAGTGTGATCAATGTGGCTTTAAATCTTTGAATCATCTCAAATAAAAAACAAATAATTTTCTGTCTTTTTTTCAATCCTGTACGAAACTTTACATTTTTTTTTTTTTTTTGTCTTCCATCTGTTTTTCGAATTCTGTCAGCCTTTTTTTCTTTCATTTTCTTTCTCTATATACACTTTCATAAAAATATATAGAATATATATATATATATATATATATATATATATATATATACATATCTGTATATATATTACAACCACACACACACACACACACACACACACACATATATATATATAATATATATATATATATATAACCATAAATTAATATTTATATATATACGCCTTCATATTTGTTTTAACAGGTAGAGAAAAAGTGTTCTTATTGTTGGACCAAACACTTTTTTTCCTTGTTAGCCCCCTCCCCCATCACCGTCCCTCTTATTCTCTTTCTCTATCTCGCTCACACATGCCCCCTCACGTCTCTCTCTGTCTCTCTCTCTCTCTCTCTCTCTCTCTCTTTCTCTTTCCCTTGCCAACCGGTAATTGCAACATAGTACTGAACAAAGAAACTAATTTCATAACATCGTTTCCGTGGTATAGTGGTCTTAACTATTAATATTCTTAATATTCTTAGCTATTAATATCTTCAAGAATATAATTGCTCCTCATGCAGGTGAAGCAGGCCACTTGACGTTTATTTCCGGCCAAGTGGAACTAAGCTTTAACTCCCGTGAATTAATCTATTTACACTAAAAGAAACGAAAGAAAGAAAGACAAAAAAGCAACATGTAATATAGTTTTGTTTTATTTTACAGAGGAAGATGAAACCATTTACTGCCACTCAAAAAAGAAAACAATATGATACATTGTGCACTTATATCCGTGGAAAGGTATGAATGAGAACGAATATCTTCACAATACAAGAGATATTCGTTCTCTTTCATTCCTTTCCACATTTGTCAACATGAATACGGTTCACTTATATCCGTGTTCTTTCGCATATCTGAGTAGTTGGTTTCAATCAACATACACTTATAGTGTGATTATCATTTGGATATGTTATATTATCATAAACACTTCAACGAAAGGATATATCTCAGAATGAAACAAACCCACAAAACATACAGTAAGGTTAACTTAAGATACAACAACTTTGGAGTGAAAGGTGTGTTAGTGTGACTCGAACCCAGATGAATGACCTCTCGTAAAATGAATGACCCAGAACGAGTCCAGATAAGCAGCCTTTGTGTCCTAAAGCCTCTTCCTGCAACTTGTAATTTAACAGAGTGTATGGACGAGTTGAGTTGCGTTGAGCTGCAATATGGCGGAGTGTCATTGTTAGAACTAATTTCTGAATTATTGCATTTCTCTCATTCTCTCTCTTCTTTTGTAGGTCTGCGTGTTTATTTATTTGTAATCATTTTCATTCTCGCAGTCTCTCTCGCTTTCAACCACTATTTATATCAGAATATAAAACATTGAAGCATCCTTCCTAACTACCGTTCCCGTGGTGTAGTGGTTATCACGTGCGCTTCACACGCGCAAGGTCCTCGGTTCGATCCCGAGCGGATACTAGGATTAATTGATTTTATAAAGAATATTACATACGCACACTTATGTGTGTGTGTGTGTGTGTATATATACATATACCTACATAAATATATATATATATCCCTCCCCCTCTTATCTATCTATATATCATATATATATGTATGTTTCTATATATACACACACTCATCTATAGATAGATATATACATGCATAAACAGATACATATATACATATATATTGTACATATACATACATGTATGTGTGTGTGTGCTTATATAGGTATATATATGTATATGTATATATATTCTATGTCTCTCCTTTTCAGTCAACCTAACTATCCATTTATCTATATGTACTCACACATATATATGTAACTCATGTATAATCTATATATAAGTATATATATATATATATATATATATATATATATATAAGTATATATATATATATTTGTCTTATTGTTTATGAATTCGTTTACATATGCATATTGATTTATATATGTATACATGAATATACATACATATACATGTATACATATGTATATATGTGTGTACATACACACACACAGACACACATACACACACACACACACACACACACACACACACACACACACACACACACACACACACACATATATATATATATATATATATGTGTGTGTGTGTGTGTGTGTGTGTGTGTGTGTGTGTGTGTGTGTGTATGTGTGGATATTTATGTAAAAAAATATATATATATATAACTGAAATATATACTACATATTACATATATATGTTAATATATACACATGTATATACTAATATATATATATATGTATAGAGAGAGAGAGAGAGAGAGAGAGAGAGAGAGAGAGAGAGAGAGAGAGAGAGAGAGAGAGAGAGAGAGAGAGAGAGTGTATGTAATATTCTTTAAAAATCACACCAGTCCTAGTATCCGCTCGGGATCGAACCGAGGACCTTGCGCGTGTGAAGCGCACGTGATAACCACTACACCACGGGAACGGTAGTTAGGAAGGATGCTTCGCTGTTTTATATTCTGATATAAATAGTGGTTGAAAGCGAGAGAGAGACACTGAGAGAATGATAACAATAATTAAAACAAAGAGAGAATATGAGTGAAAAAGGATAAAGAACGAAAGAAATAGTGTATTCACTATTTCACATTTACTGTGTAAATATTAGATAATATATAAATATATATATTATATATATATATATATATATATATATATATATATATATATATATATATATATATATGATTGGGTTGGGTTGGGTGGGTTAGGTTAGGTTAGATAAGATTTTCATTCCGGTCCTCGCTGACTTTCGGTGTTTATTAATTATCCTTGAAAAAAAAAATGGATTTTTGATTGATTTTCTCTCTTGGGTCGAGGTTTAGCACAGGTGGTTTGGAATAACAGTTACTTGACAATATAATGAAAAACAAAAAGATGAAAT